CTGAATTCAAGTATCGCTAAAAGAGCTGGACAAAATAAAGATTTTTTTAATATACACTATAATGTGTAAGTTGTCCATAGTGTTGATATGTTTATTGAAACTTTTAACATTTTTATTGAAATTTGAATGATGTTCAATAAATTCTTAAACTTTTTTCTTTCTTATTTAGATATACAATTTATATATTTTATACTTCGAAAGCTTCTGTAACTTTGTTTGCAGTAAGCTGCCTTCAGTAAGTTTCTTCTCTTTCTTCCACACTTTTATGGTCTCCACATTTTAGCAAACTCTTGAAACAAATTTTTATTGTTATATAGGTATATGCATATCCTATATTTTGCTAACAAATCGGTGTCGGACCAAGTAAAAATACATTTTAGAAGATTTCTATCATCGAAATGTTCTCTGATTATACCGCGCCACAAAAGAATAAAGGAGGATTGGGCCATGGACTGACCAGTGTATCCAACAGTATTTTGACCCGTTGAATCCGAGTCTAAAGTGTAGGAAACAGTTTTGGAGATTTCAAACTACTATGTGGGAATTGAGGTTACGATGCTACAGAGTTATGGGGTTATGGCGGTGTTTTTCCAACTACTACTCACTCAAATAAGTTTGAAGTCTTGAAAACCGCTCTCTAATGGAGTTTCTTGATGTCAAAACGCGAACGAATCTGGAAATTCCGACTTTAAATTTGATTTGTCTGGTCCACGGTCGAGACCATTTCTTTTTTGTGGAGCTGTTTTATCAGCCATTAGTACAGTCCGTACCATTTTTGTTGAGATAGAATTTCAAGAACCCAAGAAACACGCCTTCGTTACTGCAAAACACAGTATGCACTGCAAGCTGCAACGGTGAACGCCACTCCGCCAATGGCTTTTTACCTCGGGTGTCGAATGCGGTTAATTCCAAGAAAGTGACGCAGGGGTCTTCTTGGAATTCTATCTCAGCAAATATAGTACGGACTGCTCCATTAACAATTCTGGCTTAACAGCAACAAACTATCCATTTCTGGGTATTGGGATTATGAAATCTTTTGATGAATCAAACCGCAAAATATACCAGAAATTATGACTAAGATAGAATTTTAATTTAATAATCAAATAATTTCAAATATCTGTATATTTCTAAAATACAGGGTGTCCACAAATTTCACCGACAACGTTTGACTGCATATTCACGACGATAAATAAATACGAACCACGAAAAAAAGTTAAGTAAAAACTTTTTCGTTTTTGAGTTACAGGCCTTCAAATTTGTGAAAAATAAAACTAATTTAATTATTAATAACTTCATAATCCTTTTGCCGATCGTGTTAAAATTTGGCACATTTATTCGGACTACCATGGCGTATTATTTTTTAAAGTTTTAGTTAAATCGATATACTGGGTGATAGTTTTCTCCGGTTACCTCTCCCTTTTAGCGGGCAAACTTTTACAGTGGTCGTACGACTGAACAAAGCTTTAAATCCGTGACATTGTTACGCAAATCGAAAAATACAGACCTGCAAATAATGCCATTTTTCTCAAGAATGGCTTTATGTAGGCGATTTTCTCAAGAGGCAATTTTTTTTAATAAAATGTCCTTTTCAATGATGTTGCCCGTTTTAAAAAAATACGATCACTGTAAAAGTTTTTACAGCTAAAAGTGAGAGGAATTAGAGAAAACTATCACCCAGTATATCGATTCGACTAAAAATTATTAAGTTATTAATTAAATTAGTTTTATTCTTGACAACTTTGAAGGCTTGTAACTAAAAAACCAAAAATTTTTTATTGAACTTTTTTTTCGTAGATCGTATATTTATTTATCGTCGTGAATATGCAGTCAAACGTTGTCGGTGAAATTTGCGGACACCATGTATAGTGAGAAACTGTAATAAATGCATTGGTACTTAAAGTGACATTTTCTGTCTCCTATTATAGTTTGGCTCCATCTTTTAATAACACCCTATACAACAAACTTTTATGTGAAAAAAAAATTTAAACATAAAGACTAAATTGTTGCCTCCATTTACAGAAAGGAACTTGGCAAATACAAAAATAATGTTGTAGATAGGAATACATTTCACCTAATTTAATCAAACCTATTTTATCTTCAAAGGGCAGTAAAACAACAATTTATACGCGAAGTATCAATAAAATCACTATATTTTTCCCGAGGTAATATATTGGCTGTTTCACTTTTATCTTTCTGGTCGAAGATTGTCCCGCTATTTATTTTCTAAAGGATACCTCTGGGGACTATATTGGAAATATATTCTTTTCAGTTTACAGCTTCTTACTCCTTGAAAGGTCGTCGAGGTTAAAATAACCCCCAATTTGTTACAATAAACACAAACGTCAATATTTGTTAACTGTAAAATTTTCTCTATATAAATTCTGATACTTTTAATGATATAGGTACTCCCCTAGACCGCAATTTTTTTCAAAATCCAAAATGTAAACAGAGAATTGATAGTTTTAGTAAAACTGAAAGATCATGTTAATATTTATTTATTATGTAAAGAATACAAAAAATTGGGAAAAACTTGTAGGTACGTTAGTACCGTGTCGAGATACAACAAAATTTAACTAAAACAAATTACAGAGTATTTATAAAATTAAAAACTATACAATATATTTTACACAATCATATCCTTAATCCTTTATATTAATAAAAAAATTATATGTAAATATAAATACTTACTTCTATAAAGAATTAACTTTAAACATTGGGCATATCGTAAAATATACTTATATAAATTATGTTAGCTATTATAGTTCAAATTATAAAAAATAAAACATTAAATTACATTAAAATTGTTTATAGCAGTACGGTATAGGACGACATTTCATCACGTCGATTAGTAAAATTGGAGCTATTTACAATTGCAGATTAAGAGCCAGCTTATCCTGAAAAAATTTCTTAATTTGAAAAAACAAAAAAATTGTATGGGAATAATTTATTAATTAATTTTGAAATAACTACAATGTTATGATTGTTTTACATTGTAAATAAATCGATCTGAGTGAAAGCTGAGTGAATCTAGATATTCAGTGAAATTATCAAGTACATTTTCAGTTAATATTGGACATTTTGATAATTTTATACGTTCGTGATAATATTTGAACTAAAACTAATAGCTTCACTTTAGTTGGGCGCCATATACAGTGTTGTGTTAAATTACCATAACTTTTTTGTGTATGTCATTTTTGACTAAACATAGGTACCTATTCTCCATTTAGTTTTACGTACAATAAGTACTTTCAGTATCGCTGAAAGCAGATACAGAGCGTACAAAACAAAATTTTTGGTTCAGCAATTATTGCAAATGTTATTAACTTATTTGTAGAAGTAGTGTAGAAGTAGTAGTGTAGTAGTGTAGAAGTAGTGTAGTGTAGTAGTGTAGAAGTAGTCTTAGTCTTGTAAATGGTCTATGTTTGTCACATCGCAATACAATCAATAAAAGACACATTTTTTCACTTGTTTTTTAAAAACTTAATGATTCAACACAAAGTTCCAACACAGGTTTAACTTCAAACCCGTTTTTTTTACAAAACGCCTGCTTTCAGCGACAAATACTAAGAGTATCTTTTGTACGGAAAATTGAATGGAGAATAGAAATATTTAATCAAAAATGACATACAATGCGACACAAAAAAGTTACGGTAATTTAAATTCAGAAGTTTTATATCGACAAATTGCTAATTGCCTGACCTTTTTTTGAGAATCAAACAAAAACCCGTTTAGGTTTTGAAATTTATATATTTAAACCGATTTTTCTCGAAAACAGATTACTTTTTCAATATAAAACAACATAACCATTTTTAATGGAAAACTCAGATCTATCAAATTTTACTGTTTAAATTTGAAAATAGCAATACGTAAAAAATTTTACCCGGGAAATGAGGGTCCATCATATGTTGGCATCTGAATTTTAAAAATTTCGACAAGCAAAAAAATTGGGGTAAATTTTAGCCGACGACCCCCCCCCCCCTCACAATTGAGACGCCCCTGACTAAAATTTTTGATGATCTATTTCGACTTTTAATGAGCGTTCACGATGTCAAAATTCATAATTTTCCTTCAACCCATTTCGGAAATATTTTAAAAAAATTCATTTTTTGCGGTCCCCTTTAGGGGGGCGTAGCACCCTTAGGAAGCATTTCTCGACCCATGTTTATATGAAAAAATATTCTTATTGTTGGCAATAGAATCAAGTGGTAAAGTATTGGACACTAATTATGAGACACCCTGTATATTGTTAATAAATTATTTTGAACAAACTTTCACAAATCATCAGTCTGTGCCTGTGGCGAAGATCCTAAGGATTACATCCAAGTTTCTAGTAGTTCAAATCCACTTATGACTTTCAGTGTCTGTAACGAAAACATTAAGGCACAAAAATTAATCTCCAAATAACCCAAAATTTAGGTACCGCAAGAAGGTCTACAAAAGTGCTTAGATAAGGAAAAGCCTAGCCCTAGAATATAGTGGTAAAGACATAGAAGTATCTGTATTCGAAGTCCCCAGAAACGTTTAGAGCAGAAAGACTCAGTTGAAAGCCTCAGTATAAATGTGCCATCCCTATAGGGAGTATCCACGTCATAAGCAACCAACAGAGAGAGTATCCTACTCTCACCAGGTCCAGAGATAACACCAAAGACTCAGCTAAACAGAGGAAGCAGCTGTGGGAAGGAACCAAAGAATAACGAGTCTGCAATCAGCACCCTGCTCGTGATGAGTCAGGTTGAGCTGTTGGAAGATTACTCGGTAACCCAAACTAGTATGTCTTTTTAATGTAAAAATTGGCTAGGAAGCTTACACCAAACTTGATTTAATGGAGTATTTTTTTGGAAAAATATTCGGAGGACGAAAGTGTCACATACTCAAAGATTTGACGTTAAATCTAACTTACTCCCATATTTGGCAGGATTTTCATATTTTACAAGGTTAACAGAACAGGCTAACGCAGTGTCAAACACAAAAAATTAGTTACAATACTTCTTACCCTTCCCCTACTCTTCGTCATCCAATTCATCCAAAACCAGCATCCTAGGCTTCAACAAGGCCACCCTGTTGAACTTCTCGCTCTTGTACTTGGTCTGGATGGCTTGCTGATCCTTCAGAGGCGAGTCGCTGAAGGTTTTCTGCTGCCTCTGCACCACCGGGCTCAACTCCTTCAGAGTATAACCGCTGGCATTCTGCAGTTTCTCAGGCCAGGGCTTCTGCTTGGACAGCGTGTGCCTGGCCAGAGCTATGGAGGCAGCTGCCAGCTTCGAGGGGAAGTGGTCCAGGTAGTCCTCGCCTTCGAGCAAAGCTAACTCGCAAATATACTGAAAAGAAAATAGACAAAGGGTGAGTCATATTCTATATCAATATGTATTCACTAGTGCTGTGATTTCTTGCATATTCAGTGTTATGTAATACAAAATATACATATTTTTATAACATTTGACAGTTTCACGAGTTTAACACTAACCTCGTAGATTTTTTCTTTTGATTTCTAAATACAGGAGTATTTAAAAATTAAAGCTACAAAAAAAATGTGACCTTCATCCAAAATTACTTTAATTACAAGTTACAGAAAGTTTTAAAATTAAAGAAAATATTTTTGTTTGTAACTGCGAAACTAATGACGCCTCACTTCAGTTTTTTTAATGGCGAAAAATCACTTGGGGGCAGCATTTCTGAGACCTCAGGATATCAGAGAAACTCCAGCAGGACTAGAGCTTGTCCCCGTATGTGGCAGTAGACACAATGAGTTACAAAATATGAGTGCTAGTTTATCGCGAGCTTTTAAATTTTAAAATTATATACTTACTATTCTGGTCCTTAAATCCATTTTCTGAGAAAAAATATAAAATTATTTTGCAACGAAAGGCAAAAAGTATCGTTAGTCATGTCGCAACAGTTTTAAAATTTGCTAATTGCAACTCAGACCATATTAAATACATCGGACATTCTATAAAGAATATGTATACAGGGTGTTTGGAAAAGTTGGTACAAAATTTAAGGAGGTGAAAGTAGAGCCAAAAGTAGTAAAGAAAGTTCGTATAAACATTGGTCCTCCGGAGTAGCGTTACTAAGATATAGCCCTCCAAAGGGAATTATCATTTGGATATTTTTTAAAATAGCTTTCTTTATGATTAAGATAATGGAATGAAAATTGTAGGTAATAATCATACCATAAGGGTCTTTAACTATCATAAGTTCCAAACGTAAGAACTTATAGCACGCGAAAGTGACAATCAGTATCATTACAACGAAACATGAAAGGCGCCTACTTTGTGAAAATGTTTAAAAAAATGTTACTGTTCTGAACCATACATTATATAAAAAATAATTATTTCTGACTAAACTACGCAGAATTCGAAAAAAAAGTAGGGACATTTTTTCTTCAAAAAAGTCTAATTCATTAAAAATAATATTATTTGCTTGATAATTCAAAGGAATAAAAAAAATTCTAAAAACTTCTGTAAAGAGCAGTTAGAATACTATCCTTATTTATAACCAATTTTAATTAAACTTTATTCTACTTTATTTATTTTATTTATTTCACTACATATTCAACAGGCAAATGTCCAGTTACAGAATACAAAACCAATGTAGCAATACAACACACAACGCATTCGAAAATATATGTCAATAAATAGAATTAATAATAATAATAATTGAACATGGTAATATACCAGCACAAAATATAGTAGACATATACACTCATAAAAATATATATTAGATCAGCAAAACTATAGTAGATATAAAATATGTATATAAATGCATTAGACATAAATAAATAAATAAATAGTAGACATAAAATATATAAATACGTACAGGGTGATTCACAACTTATCCAAAAAATTGGGAATAGATGCGGCATGAGAAATGGAGTCAATATTGTAAAAAAATTTTGTAAAATCCTTATAGTTTCTGAGAAAAAAATTATTGAAGTTATAGCACATTAAGCCACTACATAGCTGGACAACTGTAGTCTCTAGTGTCATTCTCAATACGCGTGGAGAGCCATGTGACTCCTAATACTGAAATCCTTCGTAGCGGTAGTTTTTACCTGTTATCTGTGGTATTTACATCAATTTTTTTAGTAGTTAGTGTCAAAAATGGCTTGCGTGTATAACAACTCAGAGTTGATGGATATCGTTTTAATTTATGGTGAAGCAAGACAACATTTGTATTATGGTGAAGTATTTGTGTTATGGTGAAGCAAGACATCATTTGTGTTAGTTTGAACAATTGCTGTTGCATCATCGGGTATATCAAATGATTTTATTATTTAAAAACACAAATTAATTGTATTAATTAATAAAGGCACAAGCAGTTGAATTTGCCGATATAAAATAGGTGCGATAAAATTCTATTTACATATTTCTTTCCTTGCGAAAGTTTTTGTCTGTTTTTATCACGCCGCCATACGGGTCGCATTGTGCGAGATCAGGTTTTACAGTGGACCTATTTCCAGTGCCGTGCAGAAGTGTATTTTTAAATCAATTTCGAACTGACCTCTTTGATTTTTTCTTTACAAAATTGTATTTGTAAGGGTCCCCTGTACATCCAGATTTTTTTTTTTTGATAAGTTCTGAATCACCCTGTATATACACACACATGCACTTATGCATATAGTTAGACACAAATCAATACAATAGTAAAAACAAAAATGCACCAAACAGCTATCATATTTATTGCTTTTTGAAGTAGAGCACAATCAGATTCAGATGTAATTTCTGTGAATAATTGTAGATCATCAGCATACAACAAAAGTGTACCCAATTAACATTCGCAATTATATCATTAATAAACATTACAAACAATAATGGGCCCAAAATAGATCCTTGTGGTACACCCGACCTCTGCTGAAACTTTTCAGATTTATACCCCCAGATTTGAACAAATTGGTATCTATTCTGCAGATACGACTTCAACAAATTAATCATTGGTATGCTGAAATCAAATGCTGTTGATTTATCCAATAAAATTCCGTGGTCGAGTCTGTCGAACACCTTAGAGAAGTCACTTGACTCTGTATGTCAAGCTTTTCAGCTATGTATTGACCTTTTGTGACCAAGTTAATAACCGTTGATCTGTTCTTCATAAAGCCATGTCGTTCAAAAGATATTGTATTTGAAACCCGACTGTAAATTAAGTTATGAAGAATAATTTCTAAAACCTTGGCAAAAGTACAGATAAGTAATAGGCCTATAATTGGTCAGTTCAAGTTTTTCACCTTTTTTGTAAAGAATATGACCAGAATATGCCCCATATTCTGGCCAGTTTCCAAAGATCGGGAAAATAACAGGAATTAAGGATTACGTTAAAAATAAACGCAAGTGGTTCCGCCAGACCAGTAGCACGATCTTTAACGAAAAATGAAGGAACTAAGTCTGGGCCCATGGTCATAGTAGGTTTAATTCTTTTAATGGCATTAATAACATCAGTTTGACTAATAGAAATATTTGATGATGCTGATGGAGAATTCAAGATATAATTATTATTTACCATGCTTGGTAGGTACCGTAAATGATTTGGAAAAATAGTCAGCAAAACTATTAGCTATTAGACATCAAAAGCTAAGGCTGAATTTACGGCCCTCTTTTCATAATTCTCGTTAAAGAATAATGTTTAACATTTGCTATAAATTACAAATCGTTTTATTAGCTTTGTTGCTGTAATCACTTTTTCCTTTATCGAGTGTAATATTGCATTCAAGTCCCTTTCTAGTATCACCCAAAGAAGTTGCAATTCTAGTACTCACCATAGCTAGATGGATGGTTTTTGGGTCCATCGCGTACTCCGCGTACAGGTGCTGAATGAAACCATACGTGGTGGGAGGTTGCATCTTAAACCTGAGAACCCTGAGGATGAGCTGCTCCATTTTCAGAACCTGACGTGCAGTGAAGGTATCCCCCGTCAGATAGGACCATTCTTGGGCGTCGATGGCTTGGTACTCTTCCATTTTGGACGCCAACATCATGGCCGCCGCTCCGACCAATTGGAATTTGCTGCGAGTCTAGAAATACGTTGAAATTTCATTGTGCACGTTAATCGAGTGATGGAAATAACCAACCACGGATATTTGGCTCAAGAATCTGTCGACGTAGTTGACGCTTAGATGGACGGTCTGGTCGCAGAATTTGTACTCGTCAGAGACGCTGACCAGCCAGTCCACCAAGATGCTTCTAGTTTTCCAGCTCAGGTCCACCTGCTTCAGCATATAGTTGGGTTTGACGCGGGATCCTTCAGATTCCGCTTGGGTCAGGTAACTCCAAATATCCTATAGATATGCAGGCAGAAGTGAAAATAAAAATATTGCACAAAATATGCAAGTGCAAGTAAATAAACATACAATATTTCATATGAAGTACTAAACTTAACAAATGCCCCGCATCTTTTACACGAATCATGATAGATGGTATGGTATTCGCAACTCAACTTTTTCCGAATCTAATTTACATTTTTCTATTATTAAAAATAAGAAAAAAATTCAGTGAACATATGGTCGCAAACATTATACAGGGTGATGCACAAACGGTGACCAAAAATGAGACCTCGTATTCATTGGTGAATTTTTATCTCCCAGCTAACAATTTCATGTTCTATAAAAATCGTAAGAACGTTTCCAGAGCAAATTTCATAGAGCAATGTTTGTTCTAAGAACATTTTCAAAACGTTCTTACAACACTTATACCATGCATAAAAATGGGCACCGCTCTATAGAACTTTTTGTTCGTTAAACTGTTCTGTAAGGTCTGCAGGAAATATTTATAATAATAATAATAATAATAATTTATTTAATCCATAAAATCATAAAACATGACATCAGACAGGTCAATAAAAGTCAGTTTACAAAACTACAACACATAAAACAGAAAAAAGTAAAAAATGTGAGTAAAATATATTTTTTAAGTAACAAACTCGTGTATATTATAAAAACATTTCCTAATTAGATAACTCTTAAGTTTAGTTTTAAAAAGATTATAATTTAATTCAGTCTTAATGTCTAGAGGTAACTGATTCATGAATTTAATACCCATGTATGACGGAGATTTTTCATAAAACGATGTTCTATGAGAAGGTATTCTTAATATATTGCCATATCTAGTCTGGTAACTGTGACTGTCAGCGTTTCTAGCAAAATAACTTCCCTTTTTTAGAACCTCTAATATGCACTTATAAATATAAATACAGGGAAAAGTTAATATATTATTTTCTATAAAGTAGGGCTTACAAGAAGTTAGTGAAGGAATTCCAAATATTAATCGGATAATTCTTTTTTGTGAAATAAGAATTCTATTAACATTGACGCTACTGGCACTACCCCAAACAATAACATTAAATGACAAGTGGCAATAAATTATTGAGTAATAAATGTCAATCAGCTTTTTGGTATCAAATATGGACTTTAACTGTAGTAAAGCATAGTAGCCACTATTTAACTTTTTGCATACATATTCAACATTACTGTTCCAGCTCATATCACAGTCAATAAAAGTACCTAAAAATTTAGTAGTATCAGATAGTTTGATTATTTTGTCATTTACTGTAACATCAAAAGAGGATATACGTTTATGACGGGAGCCAAATTGCATGCATATAGTCTTCTCAGCATTTAATACTAATGCGTTCTTATTACACCAAATTGTAAATTGGGTCGATAAAGTATTTAAATAATTTCGGAGTCCTTCATGACTATCCGCGGCAGCTGCAAGTGTAACGTCATCGGCGTACAATACAGTGCAATCAGTACTAACATGAGTTGGAAGATCATTTATAAATATTAAAAAAATGAGTGGACCAAGGATTGAGCCCTGAGGAACCCCGAGATCAACATTTTGTGTATTGGAATAGGTATTATTAAGCTTTACACATATTTTTCTAAACTGTAAATATGACAAAAGCCACGAAAGAAAATTGCCTCGAAAACCAACTGCATACAACTTTTCTTTCATGAAAGTATGATCTAAGCAGTCAAATGCCATTGTTAAATCGAAATAGAGTGCCCCCACATATTTCCCTTTATCAATATTTTTATAGATATATTCAACAAATGTATAAGCAGCTGTCTCGGTAGATTTCTTAGGACAAAACCCGTTCTGGCATTTGGTCAATATATTGTACTTATTAAGATAAAGAATCATTTTATTGTATATTATTCTTTCAACAATTTTGGATAAGACTGTTGGAACAGTAATGCCTCTATAATTTCGAATACATAATGGGTCGTTCTTTTTAAATATAGGTGTAACTACACCAGTCTTTAAAATATTTGGAAATTTACCCTGTTCAACAGATATATTTATTAAATAAGCCAAAGGTGAAGAAATATGTAAGCCTATATTTTTAACAACTTTTGTTGGTATACAATCAATGCCCATGGAATTCGTATTTTTTAGGTTATGAATAACATTCATTACATCATTCGCATTTATATTACTATAGTAAAATGTATTATACATACACAAGTTTGTTACTGTACAATGGTTGGAAATTTTACTACCAAATTGCCGCAGTACAACAGTCTTAGCTTCGGAACTAAAATAATTTACAAAAGCATTTGTTAAAATGTGAACATCATTTACAATGTTATTATCAATATGTATTTCAGTGGGCAAATTTCTCTTTATTTTGCCATTTTTTTCCCCAACTAGTGTCCATATGTATTTTTGTTTTTGGAATGAGTTTTTATTTACAATCAAATTTTCATAGAATTGTTTTTTAGTATTATTAATTTTTATTTTGTAATCACGTTTAAGTGTTTTATAATACAATTCAATATCATTATCTCGAAAATTAGTTTTTAGCCAAAATAAATCTCTTAATTCTTTACTCATTTCAATAATATCCTTAGTAACCCATGACTTTGTCTTATGTTTTGTATAAGTTACTGACCGCATTGGGCAAAATAAATCTAATGAATATAATACTATATTGACAAATGTATTATTTCACAATATGGCGACAGAAAGAAAGGCTTTATCTTGTACTTTCAATATGGATTCTCACTAATATAACATTTTGTGTCAATTGTAATGATTATAAAGCAAATATGCGTAGAAAGCAGCTACTATAACAGATCTATGCCATTTAATATCCACAAGTTAGTTATAATTTATTTGAGGCGTGTTCACTGTTCATATTTGTTTTTTTTGTTTTATTGGGATTTTCGCCTCATCTTGAAACTATTCTATTCTAACAGTAGGTTGAAAAAATTGTATTGTGGTAATTTCAATTAATTTAATCTTGTTTAATAAAATTATTTAACTTCAGCATCTAGAAGTGTAAAAGAATAAGGTTTGGAGTGGTCGAAATTAAATATGTTACTAAATTTCTATAAGGAAAAATCAATTTCTATTAGTAATCAAATAAGTCTCATCTATCGTAATGAAATTATCTTTCAGCAATCAGATAATTTCTATAAGTCACGACCATATTATACAAATTTCCCCGTTACGCTTTGATCAAAATATTTCGTCCTTTTATAGGCAGGTCTTGTTAGATGTGGGCCTAGTATCTATATCTACATAGATAAATTATTTTCTTGAGAAAATGTTAATACGCCAAAATAATTAAGCTTCAATATGATAACGTTAAAAATTATTTACTTGCTTGATATATGTAATGACATTTAAAAAAAAACACGTCAATATAAATCAAGTTTACATTCAAAAATAGATTGAAAAAATCAATGTATTATAACAATTTTAATCCCTTATTTAAAGAAGTTCATAAATAAGGGATTAAAATTGGTAATTTAAAAAAAAATGTCATCACATATATCTAGCAAGTACCTAAATAATTTTTAACGTTATTATTTTCACGTATTAACATTTTCTCAAGAAAATAATTTTTATATGTAGGTATAATAGTGATATTATTTTCAACAAGATATGTTGCACAAAACTCGTTCACCCAACACATCAAAATAAACTCTTGCAACATGGCGTCAAATAAAGTATGGTTACCTATATGGTATTGTAGTTCTATATAGCGTTTTTATGGAACAAAAAGGCTTGTATTACTTATTTGCTCTATAATAATTTTATAACAACTGTATTATTATTCCCTATAACTGCCTTAAAGAGCTTTTTCTCTTAAGTTCGATAGCAGCTTCCATATCTGTAATTTGTTATCCGTAGCAGAATGGTAACTTTGCAACCCCTTACACAATAGTTTTCTAAATAAACTATAAGCGACATTACGGAATAATTTTATAACAGTGTCACAAGAGATGGTATAATTCTATAAGGCACTATTTTGCATCGGTTTTACAATTATTTAATTCTATAAGCACCGTTGCTGTAAAATTGTGTTACTGTATACACTTATAGGGCTACATTAGCAGTTATCTTATAAATGCTCTATAAATTATGCTCTAAGAACGTTCTTGCCACAAATTTATAAAACAATTCAGTTTCTGAAGGCAAAATAGTCTCATGTGCCACTTTAATGCAACAATTCAGTGTTCTAGATACAACTATAAAACATTAACAGAATATAAAACTCGTATTACTCTAAATTTATAGAACTATTTTGCTAGCTGGGCTAGGACGCATCGTTCAAAAGATACAGTGTGTTAAACTTAAAAAAAATATATTTCTATTTTTTTTTTTTAATAATTTAAAAACTATTATTTTTCTAAATAAATTAGTACGCCACTGGTTTATGGTAACAATCATGATATTTTCCAATTCATCTTTCAATTTTCTACGAATTACTACTCTGTTATTTTTTCGAAAACAGTGTGAATTTCGAGTAAAACTTAAAAAACTAATGTTACTAATTTCTTTATTCGATTAAATAACCGAATTATTATACGGGCGGATCTGTTTTGAGGTGGATGTGAGAAAAGAGAAAAGTGTAGATCCCTAGATCTGAGCGAGGTCCGAAACCATTTCAAAATTGCAAAAATATTTAAAAAATTTAAAAAATATCTATTTTATCTGAGTTTTTTACTTATCTCTTGGTACCTTTGCACAATATATTGTGCAAAATTCAATTCTAAAACTTTTTTCCTCTGCAATATTCTTCCAAAATGCATAGGTTCCAAGATATAAGTAAAAAACTCAGATAAAATAGGTATTTTTATTAAATTTTTTAAACATTTTTGAAATTTTGAAAATGTTCCGGACCTCGCCCAGATCTAGGGATCCACACTTTTATTAGGTATGTGAGTTGTATTGAAGGTATTCCAGCAAAAATGAGCTTGCCTCCTTTACATCCAAAAAGTGGGATATTTCGACAGATCGCCCTGGTTTATAGTGTTTGTCATGTCATTTAAGTAAAAGTGTTTTCAGTTCGTTTTTCAAGTTTCACTCGAAAATGAGGCTTTTTTCGAAAAACATAACAGAGTAGTAATTTGTAGAAAATTGAAAGACGAATCCGAAAATATCATGATTGTTATCGTATTTAGAAAAAGGCCTCAGATTTTGGACAATGTTACATAGTTACATTTTGTCCATCATAAAAAAGTGTAACATTTGTCAAATTTAAAAGGATCGTCGTAAAATAAATGAAACACCTAAATGAAACATGACCTTTTTTAATTTTTGACCAGAGAATTGCTTCCAAAATTTTGTCGGTGAAATAATAATCCTAAAGAAACTATCTACTATTAGTTTAAGCATTTAAAAAGATATAGGTAGACATATTTTTAAGAAATAAAAAATATATATTTATGGTTATAAAATTTTTTGTTGTTTTTGTATGTGTGATATTAGAGTACCTATTCGCGTACCTACCTATCTCTGTATTTCGTTGTATGTATTTAGTTACCAAAAGGTGTTCCATCTAATATTTCTTTACCAATTTATTCAATAGGTAGGTACTTAATCTTGTTATATTTTCAAGCAGACTAAAATCAAACAACATCAAAATCATCAAACATCAAACATCGAACATGAAAAGAAACACGAATTATTTGGTCAGCTAGATACACCACCAAGATAATTTTTATTAAATATTAAGCACTTAGGAAAAGAACGTCTTAAATTTATAAAAAAAGTACCTAGTCTGAAAATAAGCATACCAAACATACCTTTCGGTATTCATCATTATGAAACAAAGCGAGAGGAAAACCATCTCTATCACTTTCCTTTTCACTAGACACTACACTTTTTTCTTCAATTTTCCAAAAAGTATTTTCGAAAGATTTCTCGTCTTCCTCCGGCTTAATTTTTATCTATAATATTTTAATAATTTTCTTACTGGCTTATTTATTACTATAAAAACTATGGCTTACCGTTATTTCTCCAATATCTTCGTTATTTCTCTTTGTTAATTTTACTCGTTTCGCTTTATGTCTTACACCATTGCTCAAAGACTGGAAAGTCGTTCTATTTTCTACATACTTTTTTGTGATAATCTTCTCTTGAGCACCATTATAAATATGTTTCACATGCTGGAAAGCATGCTGCTGATAATTTTCTTTATCTTCGTGTATCTGAAAAGTAGCCATTACTTTTCCCCCAAAGATTTTTTAGTTTATTCAAGTGTAATATGTACAATAATTAAAATATAAAATTTCGTTCGATAAAATGGTGACTCAGTTAGAAAAATGTACTGCGAGAAGTGCGTATAGCTAAAAGTGACAATGATAAACTGACGTTTTTTATGTTTTTTATTTGAATTTTTTGTTTCGGTAGTCTATTCATATTACTCATATTAATTTCCAGATAATTAATGTATTTAAGAAAATATCTGATTTTTACATTACTTTTCACAATATGGTTACTAATTTTTATGGAAAGACAACAACTGATAGAAAAAATAAGAAAATTTGACTAAATCAGAATATTTGAAATTGGCGCTAACAATGTGAATACATTTTTCTTAATGTTGGTAATCCTACTGGAAGACGCCATCTTTATTTTATAAACGTTTGTCAGCCGTCAATAAAGAAATATGTTTGCTGTGAAATTCGATTTAAATATTGTAAAATAATGTGTTAAAACCTAATTTAAAGTGAAAGGACATTGTTGACATTAATTTAAGATAAAAATATCACTAAAACATTGCTCTACTTTGAGGTGATTTGCGTGTTTCCCATTCATCAGTTTATAATGTAATTAATTTTCTTTCTAATAAAAGACTACCTTTTCAGTGAGAGTGGTTTTTTATTTAAATATTATGTCTGTACATTATAAATTTAAGTCAGCCCTAGAATATGATACGGTTACTTTCGATGGCCTACATATTTCTGTAAAGGACCTGAAAAATGCCATCCTCCAGCAGAAACGAATCGGTAAAAGTACCGATTTCGATTTGCAGGTTACTAACGCACAAACTAAGGAAGGTGAGTTCTTTTACTTAATCGTTATTGTACCATATTTATAGTCATATTTTTTTTCAGTATATGATGATGAAAATGCCTTAATTCCTAAAAACACATCACTTCTTATCGCTAGAATACCCACAATTGTACAGAAAACAAAACAGTGGGAAGGCTATGGTGGTGATAGTACACCCCCTGCCAAGGTCGACGAAGGGGGGCCGATTGCCAAAGCAGTCGATTTGTCTAGTTTAGATGCCCCTGAAGATGACAAAATTAAAGCCATGATGTCTCAGTCGACTCAAGATTATGACCCAAGCAAGTAAGTAGCAAATATGTGTATATAAAAAAAAATTATCTAACATGTTTATATTAGTTATATGAAAATACGTGGTGCCAATCAAATGGGTGTTGTCCCACCTAATTATAGATGCTACAAGTGTCATCAAGGTGGTCATTGGATTAAAGACTGTACGTTTGGGCAAGGTCCAGTAAGTATTAATTTTTATCTTGCATACAAAGTATTTAATATATTTTCCATTAGGACCCTATAGAAATAAAAAAGAGCACTGGTATACCAAGAAGTTTCATGGTCCCTGTAGAGGGACCGCAAGTACAGGGTGCTATGATGACTCCAAATGGATCTTATGCTGTTCCAGTTCTGGACCATCAAGCCTACACCCAAAAGTCCACTCCACCAGCTCCGGTTCCTGAACCAAAACCGGAGATTCCTGAGGATTTACTTTGTAATATTTGTTCCGATTTGTTAACGGATGCTGTTATGATACCTTGTTGTGGTAACTCTTTTTGTGACGAGTGTATTAGGAGCGTTTTACTGGAAAGTGAGGACCACGAATGTCCAGATTGTCATGAAAAGGATATTTCTCCTGGCACTCTCATACCAAACAGGTTAGTACAGTATACTTTAACTTTTTTTTGGGGGAGTTTCTTAAGTTTGTTTAATTCTTTGTAGGTTTTTGCGGAAATCTGTGGGGACTTTTAAAAATACTACGGGTTATGTGAAGAAGCCGGTGTACAGGCAAAAACCAGAACCAAAACCTGTGGAAAACACCGAAATTAAAAACAACAAAGAGGTAAGTCTTGTAAGAGTGGTCAGAAATGTTGAAAAACTTAATTTTATAAAGGGCTGTTTATTTGAATATCTCGATATTTCAGTCAACTCCGCCACAAGAACCAGAGTCCACTGAAAAAGCAAAATCTGATGCGGAGGAAAAGACCGTCATTTCTGAAGCAGATTCTACAGAACAAGCCAGGAATGATCAAAATATAGACTTTTCAAAGGTAAGTGATTATGATAATTTTGTAAATAATTATTTTATTAAATTTTCAATCAAGTAATACCACAAAAAAGTCATCGACAAAGACAATTTTAAACCTTTGCGACATGATTGGGTGTTCGAATATTCGTACTTTTATTTGCAAGCGGATTTATTTTTATCAAATTTTAAATTTGCATTTGATTTTGTGGATTTTTAGCGAATGCGAATACACAAAAGAGAAAAATTTATAAGAAAACGTGTTTAATTTTTAAAAAGAATCTATTTTTATATTGCAGCAAGTATTTGATAAAAACATGAAACCGGTGATATATCGGAGTGATTTTCTTGTAACTCGCGTTGATACATTTTAAATGTATTAATTGCACATTTTTTAGGATATTGATATCAATGAGCCCGCAAAATCAGAATCGGAATCGATTCCAGAGGGACCACCGGGAGTGTCTCCAAGAAGTTCTCCTAAGGACCAACATATTCACAGGGTGAATTCTTCCAGGGAACCTAGAGAAAGTAAATAGATTTTTTAATATTCACTCTTTACCAAATTTCCTTACAAACTTTCTTTCATTTTCTTGTGTGTTGTTCGATTAAAATTTTTCTCTCTTTTCAAGGTCGTCCAAGTCGTCACACCAAACACAAGAGCGATTCCCCAAGGAAGAACACCCGTCACCGACGATCGCCCAACTATAGTGACTCCGGGTAAGTTCATTTTAAGAATTAAAATATTGCATAATATCGAGTAAGTACATGTTAAAGTAACGATTATCATATTAGTATTTCTGTGTAACAATCAGGTTTAATATGTTATTTATGATTTAAACACTCATTTATAGGTCCGTTGTTTTTGCTCACAAATCGAGAAATGAAACCAAGTAAGTTGTGGTATTATAGATGTATATTTGTGTAATGTGGGTAGTAGTTGATCTAACCTCAACTTCCGTTTAATTAAATATTTCTTTTAGTGATTCTATAAAATTCCTCAAATATTTTATCTGTCGTATTATAAAAAAAAATATTGTTCATTGCTAAAGTGACTTGAAAACAGTTTAGATGAAACGGAATATTTTTGATGTATTGTTGGATACTTTTAATCGTAATCAAGCCGTAGTTTATTTCAATTAACTGTATTGGCCTAGTGAATTTGATTATGCATGTATTGTAGTAAGGAAGTGGGTGTAGTTTTGAGTTTTACGATTTTTTCCCCAAATTCCAGCAAATTTTTATCAATTAATGGAATAAACTTTAAAACGAACTACAGGGTGTTTTTAAATGAACAGGGTTTGTAGCGGCCGGGAATACCGGGAAAAGTCAGGGAATTCGTTATTCTTCATAAAAAACAGGGAATAGTCAGGGAATTTTAAAAATATTCATGAAAGTCACGGAATTTGATGTTGGCAACTGGAAATTTTGTGAAAGCCGGTCCTGGGTTCTTGAAAGAGAAAACTATTTGTGGTTTTGAAACCTTTATAAGAGGTTCTTCAGGTATAAAAAGATTATGGGCTTCAGTTGAGAAAAAATTTAATGCATAAACACCAATTAGTATGTAAAAATGAACTACAAGTGACCTGGATTTTATTTTGAAAATCCGGGAAAACCTGGAAAAGTTAGGGGATTCATTCTTACTTTTGAACTATGAACCCTGATGAAGTAGCAAAAATGGTACCAGTGAATGTAGAGCCAAAAATAAGAGGATTGAAGTAAAAATACCTTTTACGAACGTTGCACCCCTGAGGCGATATCCCCCTCTTAACTCATTGTGTCGCAAAATGTTCGATCAGTTTTTGTACCTAGTAGCACAAAATTTAGTGAAGGGATATTTTTTTGATTTGTCTCGAAATTATTATAATTTGGGATATAATTAAAGAAATAATAAATGAATTTTTAACAAAAAACATATCTTTATTGGTTTTTGTCAGGTGGTACCACAGAAGTACCATTGTGACATTTCGTCATTTTTTTTAAATGTAAATATTTATAAAAACAAAAGATTGCTCAGGCTCTAGAAATGAAACAAAAGAAAACAGTTCTTTTTGCTGTTTAAACATAGCGGTACTTCACAAGTCTGACATTGTCATGGGCTTCGCACTTGGTAATCCTTGGTACTACAAATTGCTCAACGCCTCCGTGTACCACGAATGGGCTTATGGTCTGCTGAATGAAGTCGGATGTTTTTTGGAACAAATGGTTTATGTGCTTTTATGCGAACAGCTGGTGAATCATTTCTTTTTCGTTTAGGTGCATATATGNTAAGTTATCAAACATTTTTCATTAATTAATAGCAAATTATTCTTAATGTTATTATTAAATTACCAGCTTATTCACAGAAAGTGTCAATTTATTAATATGATAAATAACAATTTATTTGTTATGGCATCGGCCTACTTTATTTTTACAAATTTTCACAATTGCCCCTTTAGTGAACGATGATGCATCTAATTGTTTTTTGCTAGAAAACTATCGGTTTTATCGAAAAATTACAAGAGGTAAAAGAGTTGTGCAATAAATCAGTCTTCCCAATAAATATTTTTAAATAAATAATTTGCCTCACATAAAAAATTTCTAATAAAATATTGCAAAGGAGTTGACTGGTTTCACTCCTTTATAAAATATGCCAATGATCGAAAAAATATTTAAAAGTTGTCTTTTTATTAGTAGGATGTTCATACCAAGTTTCGTGTCTCTAGCATTCCTCATGTTAAAGAAAAAAATTAAAATGTGAATTTCAATCCCCTCCTTTAAGAGGGTATATCGCCTCAGGGGTGCAACTTTCATATAAGGTATTTTTACTTCAATCCTCTTAGGCCGGTGTCCCATGCATCTGAATTCCGATGATATGAAGGTCCGAAAGTGTTCCTATTGGTTAATATACATTCAAATTTTTACCGCTCATTTTCATCTGAAATTTTTTAAATTCATACGACGTTGGAAAAAGTAGAAATAATTTTATCTTTTATCCGAAATCGTACGTTTTTTAACCTCACTTTTTTATTTCTTAACATGCTATGATTGTTGTTTGGTATATTTACAGTCAAATAAATGTTATATTATAATGTCGAATGTAGAAGATATAATACTACGTATATTTTCTACGATATATACCTATGGTTGTCATTTGAAAATGTTTCACCTTCATCTTGTAATAAATTCCATGGTTCTATATTTGATTTCTATGAGATTAATTTCGGATGCATGTGAATTATAATTTTATCGTACGTATGAATTAAAATATTTTCGGATATCGTACATCGGAATTCGGATGCATGGGACACCGGCCTTATTTTTGGCTCTACATTCTCTGGTACCATTTTTGCTACTTCATTTAAAAACACCCTGTATATTTGATAGAAGATAAGAAGGAAAGTTTGTAATTTGACTTACATGGTGCCTTGATTTATAGGTCTGCAGGCTATTCACATAATAAGTAAAAAACAAATGAATTCTAATGGTTTTTTAAAGACTGTTTAAAACAATTGATGAAAAGTTAAATAGAATTATAGATAAAGCTAAACTATATCAACTTATTGTTCAGGAGCAATATAAAAGTAAGAAATATCCCTAGAAATATCACATTTTTATTTTTGCATGGAGATTTTCTTGATTTTGGCAAAAATTTATCGATTGTAAACGTTTACATTTAATTATAATTTATCCTTTTCCATTTTGTATTTACATAGAAAACAGTGTGGTTGAGCAAGTGTACAATTATCTGAATGTCGCATTTCGTAAGACATTGTTCTTTTGTCAGACAAATAAACAATAAAATCTCTAAATTTGCCATTTCTTAAAGATATTTTTAAAAGTCCTTTGGTTAAATGTAATTTGCTTAATTTTTTGAATGCAAATTTTATCATTTACCGTTGATGTAGGACTCGAGAGGATAGACCGGGCACCCCAACAGTTGACGAACCGACTGGGTCAAGTTATAATCCTCCGTCGAATCCTCCATTTAACAGCAGTGCCGCTCCACCAGGCACTCTTCCGCCAATGATGGGAAACATGGGTGCTCTTCAGGTAAGACGATAAATTTTTCGTAAGGCGTACAGGAATCCGGAAAGTATGAACACAAAAATTACGGGTGATTCTACTCGTAAAAATAACGGCACAAAATTGTGTGACAATTTTTTATGAAGCACTATAGCATTTGAATGGTCTCTTATTTACTAGCAAATTGATAATAACCGTTTCCTTTGCAGTGAATACTGGAAGTGGTCACAATTTTTTAGTCCGTGAATAATGAATTCTCCAATACGGGAACCGCGAATAAGGAGCTTTGATTGTATTTACTATGTACTATATACATACAAGCTGTCTCCTAAAAAACACCTCAAGTCATAACTTATTTGTAGTCTGATTTTGAAAAACAAAAAATTAAATTTAAACTTTTCCAAATTAAATCATAATTTCGTAATTAATACTATTAATTTTTTACTATATTAACCATAAGTTGGTAAAGGATAGATGAAAAATGAAAATTGTTACGAAAATATTCATTTTTCACCCAATTCTTGTATTTCAGAGAATATATTCTAAGAAAATATAAGTATTTGGTATCATTGAAGCTTATAACATGTGCTGTACAGTAAATCGGTTACATTTTATTTTCTAAAATGTCTGTATAAGTAGTGTCTAAAATGTCCAGACAGTTCTCTGTTTTTAGAAAATATGACATTTTGAAACGACATCGTCAAAAGTAATGAATATAACTAGGTGAATTCAAAAATGTTTTCTGATCTTATTAAAAGTGAAATAAAAATACAAGATATTTCTTGAACAATTTCAATATCATTATTTTTATATTAATTACAGTTCGTGCGATATTTGTTGAGATATAATTCCGAAAAAAGAATAAGCCCATAAAGTTCTGTTATCGGAACTACTGTAACAATTTACCGTGGCAAGGGTGTGCCTTGAAATTTTCTTGGAAAAATTGTCTTAAAACAAATACTCTTCCACTGAACTAAATTCCTTTCTTTTATTTTTCACCTTCATTAATTTATTTTAATAAGAATTACACTAACAATGCACAGAACGATACATTTTTAGTTTTGTTTTGAATAACTTTTTATTACTAACTATTTACTATACCCGAGTACCATAAAAATGGGCAGTGATTCATATCCAGCACTTAGACGAGTAAGAGAGGTGAGCGGTGCTGGGGACAAAATTCCATAAGCGTGCTAATTGAGAAGGGGTCAAAGAACAGAAAATTATAAAAAATAAGTTCACGGTGAATATTTACTTCAAAAGGCTAATAAAGGTTGTAATCCTCTCAACAGTTGTTGAGTGCCGTCCTTTCGTTCGGCGATGGTCCACCACCACCCAATTCGGGGATATTACACTTTATCACTTATAATACACAGAATAAACTACCGCCTACTATCTATCACTTCAGTCGAAAATCCTTCCAAAAATGCCTGCCGTTTCCTTTGGATATTAACATCTTGCCATACTTTTATCACCGTATGACCTTAAATTTTCCATGTTTCGTTCGTGTAAATTATTCTACAATTTATTTTTCGAACTTCTAATACTTGTCTTAAATAGTTTCTTCACCATATCATTATTTTGTCTTTTACTATCAGCATACCCTTTCGATTTCATTTTATAAAACAGAAATTCATGTCACGCACAGTTTGCAAAAGCACCCTCCTGGATATTCTAGGCAAATTTTGATCATGTGAGATAGCAGCTTGAATTTTTTTTATTGTCAGAAGCTCATTTTGTGCATATTTTGTGACGTCAACATCTATATCTTTTTCCTTCCACGAGTTTCCACCCTTTTTTTCTGTTTTGCAGTCGAGTCTTTGCCACTTCTTATTGCACGATATACACTTCTCACCAACACTCTTGTTAGTGAACTGCACATTTCAACTGCACCACACACTCATATTTTGGTTTCGCTCTATAAGCCCTTCATACACGTTTTTTATAATCTGATATTCCTGTTTTGTTAGATGAAGACGCTTATATTACGAGAACATGCTGTAAAGCTTGAATTACTCTCTATTTTAAGAATACAAACTCAAAATCTCTAATAAATTAATTACAATCACAATTAAATTAATGGAAAGATATTGTCGGACTTCTCCTGTGCGTACGCCTATTTGCCTGTGGCGAGAGGAATACTCGGATCCAAATGAACGCAGCCCAATTGATACACCAATAAAAGTCTAGAATTTGCTGCAGCAGAAGAATTCCCAAAATTGTGCAACTTTGCAAACGGCTCGTACTTCTCTTTGTGTTGACTGCTAAAAATGGTGAGCCGGATTAAAGATGAAATCACTGCCTATTATTTTGATACCCGACTATAGTTATTATTGGTGTAATGTTAGTTGGGCATGTAACCCATAGAGCAGTTGTTTCCCGCAATATCAACAGTAATTAATCTTGTGTGTGGGATTAGATATCGAGGGCGTAATATCAGAAGGGCGTAAGAGCCACTATAGTCGGTTTTGGGTTTTTAGGGCGTATGACCTCATTTAATCAATTCGCTTAATATGTCAGAAGGGTGTATATATTCATAAACATCAACACTCTATTCTAACGCATTTTACTTAGGCATATGAACCAATTTTGCAAAACTATAATATCAGAAAGGCGTATGCCTGTAAAATTTCAGATTTGACTCATACGCCCTTCTGATATGACGCCCTCGATATATTTTGCATACCTAAATTTTTGGTATTGGAGAACATTATTTGATTTTTTGTTTTTTTGGGAAGATTTTGTAAAATAAAATATTGAACTTGTTTGAATTAGCTTAAAAAAATTTGCTAAGTACATTTTTTATTGCTTCAGTATTTGGCAATACCTAATTAATTTGTATTACTCAGGGTCCACCACAAACGGTTCCAACCACCTACTCAAACCAGGCACCATTGGCACCTTTTCCGCCGACACAAGGACCTCCTCCGAATTTCAGGCTACCACCCCCTGGAACGGTGCCCCCACCTTATATGCCCCCCGGGTAAGCATCACAACAAGCTATTTTCTATTATGCAAATATGTCGAGGGTTTAATAATTATATTTTTCTTTATCGCAGACCTTATTCCGTTCCTCCGAGAGCCTTGTTCGACACATCTAGACCTCCCCTCGGAGGCCCACCACCGTCGTATCAGAACTTTCCTCCTGGCGCCAGGGGCCATCGGGACTACGGAAGAAGGATGAGAGAACGGACACCCCCGGGGTAAGAATCAAACGCTCTTTAACGTATATCTTTTTACTTGACTTTTTTTTATTTTTTTTCAGTGTGATAGACGATCCTCTGGCAGCGTTCAATAAGATGCTGAGGGAGAAAGACGAGCGCGAGCGAAGGGCCAAGCAGAGGAACATGAGGCGCAGCTACAGCAGGAGCCGTAGTCGCAGTAGGAGCTTCAGTAGGTCACCGGTGAGGAGGAGAAGCAGGTCTCCCAGGAATGTGCGTCGATCCAGGAGCCGATCTAGATCATTCTCGCTGAGCAGGTCAGTCAAAAGTTCATAACGACTCGCTTAGTGGTGAGATTTGCATTAATGGAGGTTATGTGTTGCTTTCGCCTCTGGGAAAAATGTAATAAACAAGGTGTGCCGGTTAATATTACCACCAGAAGGTGGCAGTAAAGGGTTCACATTGCACAAAATTCTATTTATTTTTGTCTTAATACTGTAACAAGAAAGGTGCAAGTCAGGCTTTCGTTTGCGCCTGCCGCAGTGGCGCAATGCTGTACGGGTGCCCACTATTACCGCGCAGTGCACTCCCGCCGGTTGATAAATATAACATTTTTTCAAATACCATGTACCTTAGTTTTTTAAACATCCTGTATGTAAAAATTTGATAACGTTGAATAAATAAAAAGTTTGACCCGCCCCACGATCCGAACCATGGACTTTTGGCTTCGCAGTCGCAAGGTTACAAACTGAGCTAGGGCGGCCTGTTGGTGAGTGAAGTCTATACGGTGCATTTGAAAGTTTGGGTCCCTGCAGTTTTATTGCTATTGAGGATTACTTTCGCTGTACAGCAAAAATAAAACGCTCTCTCAACGGTAAAAATTAAGTATTTTTATTATAAACTAAGTTTGTGGAAAAAGACGTGTTGTTGGTTCGAGCATTTGTTGGAGAGTTCTCTCGACGTGGAGTCACTCGCAGAAGTACCTGGTCCTTGGCGCCAATCTGCCAGGGTCGTCTTCCGCGAACTCTGGTGAGTCTGGGCGGCGTCAGGCTGGCGCTTTTGACGCAACACTCAAAATGGGTCACTTGCGAACATGTGTACCCACACTATAATAACGTCTTTGAAAAATCAGATCTGGTGCCTAAAGGCAAAATAATAATTAATCGTGACCCGAACGTCCTGGAAAAAGCGCCAAAGGCCAAAAACTTGTCTGTCTCCAACTCTGTCTAGACATCGGATATCTTTCGGTTGTCTCTCTCGCACCGAAAAAAAATTATTTTTAGCGGAAGAGGAAATTTCTCTTATAAGACTATAAGAAATTGCCTTCAGAATATGACTGGGTTAAAGGAAGGTCCGATGGAGGCTTTGCGCTTCGCAGCACCCGGGGAACGCTTGAGGACGAGAATTACCTACTGTGTTTAATATACGTAGATTAGAGCAATCTAATTATTATTCGCAATATTAACAATTGTACCAGGCGTGTCCAAAAAATAGAGGACGTCGACAATATCTCGGGAACTGTTCCTCGCAGAGTATTGAGAAAAAATTTTTATCCTGTGTATATTAAAAGCTACAGGTTTCTCTCATTATCAGACTCGTTTCTGAAAAAAGGACAGTGTGCTCCCACAAATGCTTTTTTCTGGGAACACCCTGTATTTCCGAAACTATCAACTTTTGGATAAGGCATGTTTGTGCCAATGGTCACCATTTCATGTGTAGTATCTTCAGCTTTCGATTTTGCCATTGTTAACGAATCACCCTGTATACAGGGTATAGAAACAGTACCGGAACGGAAGAATAACTCGGAAGAGCATTTTAGAGAAAAATGTTAGATAGGTACAAAAGTTTCAGGATTTCTCCCTGGCTATCCTATGGTGACCTTGACATTAACCTTGACCTTGAATATCATTTCAAGGTCAAATGTGATTTTTCAAACGGGGCCCTGTACTTTTGACCCCAGAAATGAAAAGAGCGGAAAATTTTACGTTCAGATATGACCTTCAGTGACCCCTCCCTTTTGACCTTGGGGCCCCCACAAGGTTAAACTAACAAAAATACCTAAATTTTAGAAAAAAATGTTATGTGCTTTTGTTAGTTTGACCTTGTGGGGTCCCCAAGGTCAAAAGGGAGGGGTCACTCAAGGTCATATCTGCAATGTTTATTATTATCCGCTATCCGTGGCGGGGAAAAAAGCACTCAGAAACAAAAAAAAAAAGATGAGTGTGCAAAATTGGTGAGTTTGGGCGTTATTTCGATTAACTGTGTTTTCAATTATCCAGCAACGGTTCGGTCCTGGCCGGCTCGGATAATCGAGGTTCTACTGTATGTCTTTGTATCTCTCATAATTAAAATTATTGTCATGGAGAATAAACTAAAATCTAAAGTTGGACATTGAAGAGTAAAAGATGTTTAAGAAATTGTATACAGGACTAAAAAAAATGTTCGTCTTAGTCCTCGTTGCTCACTCACTCGATTCTGTTGTTGCATACGTAATAGGAGCCACAGCACAGGTCATCAAATCTGATTTATATTTTATAGCAGCAGTGATTTAATTGTAAATTTTTCCAAATATTAGAAAAATTGTCCACATTAAATTCTCTATTCAATGCACACAATTTTTTTTGTTCTCTGTAGTGAAATATTTTTATGCCAAGTTGAACCCTTTACTGTCCTCTGCCTAGAGCTAGCACTATTTTAAAATATGGTTATCAATTTTTAATGAAATGACAGTGGGAATGTTAAGTAGCACACCCCTTGTATGTCAGACTCTTCATTTTTTTAATCTATTAGGTAATTGATAGTAAAAACAAGACACTTACTCCATTAAACGCAATATAAATATCTTTAAATTTTTATTGTATTTTTGTTATTTACATTTTTCTTATTTTACAAATCTTATCTTACACATGTCGGATACCCATTTCCCTATAATAAATTCCTTATCGCTTTTTTTTTTTTAAGAAAATTCCATGATTTATCCAATATACCGATTGTGAAAACATGCTTCTGTTTTTTTTTAAACGTTTTTATACCAGTTGTGTTTAACAGTGGATGTTGCAATTGTAGGTCTCGGTCTAGATCGTTTTCGGGCAGTCTTAGAGGATCGCCTTACAGGCAACTGTCTCCTCCACGGCGGTCACCACCGCCCCCTTTGCCTCCCCGGAGGGGACCCTCTAGGTATCGGTCGCCTATACGATCACCTCCAAGGTTAGTCTTTGTAGTAGGCAGTGTTTTGCGATGTAGCTTCATGCATGTCTGGAAATGATTCTCTTATTTTAAAGTTTTAATTTTTTATGCAATTACGTCACTTTTTCTGTTTGATAATTTTGAGAACGCATTGCCAATAACAGTCAAATTTCAAATAAAAAAATAATATATGGAATTTAGCATAAAATGTCTTTAAAAACTTAAGGTTCGTACACAAAGTTTTATATGTTCATTCAAATACTTTTTATTATATCAACGCAAGTGAAAAAATCAATGTCTATAATGTATCAAAAAGTTAATTCTGTTTTCAAGAACTTTAACTCAAAATGAAAAAGAAAATAAGAACAAAATGTGTCTTTATTTAGCGGTATAGATTAAAATTGACTATACCATGTGAAAGAAAAGTATGGAATAATAATCTCCAAAACAATTTCCTCGGGCAGGTCCATTAGTGTTTTAAACAAAAACACTTTCTACAAGAATCTTCTTGAACATTATAGTTCCATTTGAATACATTTTTTTTTAATGGCTTGCATAAACAATTGAATGTGGAATCTTTTTAAAATGCAGTATCGACATGTCTCAAATGACATAACACTTCAACGTTTAGGGCCGGTTAGGGTACAATGCAGGTATGAACCAGGCAGTGTTGCCAGATTTTTTTTCAGGCAAAGTGGGATTTTGAAACATTTTGAGTAAAAAAGCAGAATTCTTTCGTCAAAAGCAGGACATACTAAAAAACTTATAAAATCAATAGTTTTTAACTACTTATCCTTTTATTTGAGTTTCAAATTAAGTTTACATGACTATAGATAGCCAAAATTGTCATGGAATGTATATTTTAAAGAAAATACGTTACTTTACTATACTAATCGTCGCACCGTTGAGTAATCACCGAAAAGCGGTGATTTGATTTCGGGCTAAAAATGGGGACGTCCCGCCAAAATCAGGACGTCTGGCAACACTGTAACCAGGTATAAGGCTGTACTTAGAATATTGTTAAAGTGTTGCGTTCTACATCGCACTAGGTATACTTGGAATAACGTTATTCTGGCTTTCTATTGGTCTGTGACTCTCATTATTCTTTGACATGTGGTGTGTGTCTGGCCGTACATAACCTCTAACCTATATCTTCTATTTATTTATTCTGGATATATTCTAATATAATATTTGGAGTATTATATTATTTGTGTACTACTTTAATAGATCCTGCAGATTTAAATGTTTGTGATTCTGATGAAGACGACGTTGAGGACATCGCTTTATGTCGACAAAGTTTTAAAAAATCGGTAAATCGGTATAAAAATATTTTGTTTTCAAATTTGATTTTAATACATGCCTAATTATCTTGGAAAAATACGATTTAGAATTTTTCTTTTCAGTTAAAAAAGCAGATCAGTGAAATGGTACTTATTAAATTCAATGCACTAATCTCCAAGTTCTATATGGTTTTCCACCAATCCTACTAGCACTTCTATTTCATCTTTACTAAAGTTGTTACACCTGTTTTCTATGTTTCCTCCATTTTACTTTGTTTTCTGTCAGTTCACTTAAACTAAATCTGAACGCTATATCTATGAGCAGTGTAGAACAGAAACGCTGTTATACAGGGTTCATAGCGGCCTGGAAAACCAGGAATACCGGCAAAGTCAGGGAATCCATTATTCTTCATAAAAAACGGAATAGTCAGGGAATTTTAAAAATATTCATGAAAGTCAGGAAATTTGATGTTTGCTACTGGAAATTTTGTGAAAGCAGGCCCTGGGTTCTTGAAAGAGAAAACTATAAACATGATCTACAAGTGACCTGGAGGTTTTTTTATAAGTCGGGGAAAACCTGAAAAAGTCAAGGAATTTTATATTAATTTTGAACTATGAACCTTGTTATACGTGCATTGTAGAACCGCCCCTTAGGAAATGATAAATTTATTTCTCACTTTTCTTCCACGTAATGCAATTTACTTTCCATGTGTAAAGGATTGCTGATTGATGAGTAATTAAAAATTAATTTCAATATAGATCAAAGGAACGATTTATAAAAAAAATATATGTTTGTTCAATTTTTTTAATTATTTTAAATTTATTACAAGAAATATATGAAATACTGTATGTATATAACTTTTAATTTTCAATAAGGAAAAATCAATTAAGGCCTCAATTTTAGCTACAAAATTTACTTTGTAATCGTGAAAGAAACAGAAATTGTGTTTTTTATGTTTTTTGCCTTAACTGTTAATAATAAGCAGTATTTTTTTTACTCATTCATGCACGGAATAACGCATTAACGGTATCTCTAATCGTTATGGCGTCACTATTTGGAAAAATTCAAAATTAATTAAAATATCTGTAAAATACTTTTATAAAAGTTTTGTTTGTCTAATGTATACATGTAATTGTTAACCTTTCGTAAATAATTTTCACAAACTAACTGCCTACTGCTTAAACTAATAATTGAAGCTTAATATGAGTAGCTTATTGCTCTTATATAATTTCCAATTTCATAAGGATTCTTGCATTTATTAAATACATTTAATGGATCGCAACTTAATGGGAGATTCCTGATTACGATTAACATAGCTTAATTAAATATTGCTTGTTTTCATTCTGCAAAGTTTAAACCTTTTTTTTTAGAGCTATTTTATTTTATTTTTAGCTATTTTTTTAATATATAGAATTATATGCTTTATTTTTAATTTGTAACTATATAAATTTTATTTTATTACAACAGATTCTAGATCTTGTATGTCTCTTTTTAACATACATTGAAACAAAAAGTCACTGTTATCCAAAAATATTGGTTTTTATTTGTTTGTCATGAATGTACCAAACTAAGCAAATATATATTATTTTGGGCCAAACTTATCCATAGTTAAAGTTAAAACGGTATGAGGAGCGTTATTTCAAAACGCAACAATAGATTCAGGCATCCTGAACTGGATGCTATAATAAACAATAGTTAATTTTAATTGTTAGTTAATTTCTTCATTTTTCTGTATAATTATCCATTTTCAATGACGCAAAATTTTCAATTTTAAAGTGTAAATTCTGATGTGTTAATTGATCCTTAGTTTGGCTATCCTCTTACTGTATGCTTGTATTTATATTTAAATTTAATTTGATCTGTGTATATTAGGATATCTTATTTATTTAATAAACAACAATTATTATTCAAATATATATCGTTTTTATGTAAACAGATTTCTTGAGTATCAGAATAACCGTATTCATATTTTAAGAGGATATACAAAATAAGAGATTTCACTCAATACTAATTAAGTTTCATTTTTTGCTTGGTATTTTTCATTAAAATAAGACCACGTTATATCATCTTTAATACAGAGCAGGCCTTGCCCGTTTTAAAATTGTTCATAAAATCCAAATTAATTTGGATTGGAATATATTTACTTATTATGCAGATAATAGATCCTAAATGTTGTCCATTAGGATTTTAGGATCTTTAGGATAGCAAAACACATTTTAAATACTGTTTTAATCAAAAAGTTAATGAAAAAGAAATTCAGGTATAAACTTAACAATTGTATTATTACTATTATCATTATCTAGTGAAATCTTTAAAAAATGGATTTAGTATATATTTAATTGTTATCAATAGTTTCAATCATTTCAAATAATAAGTCTAGCTCACTATAAATAATACAAATAACTAAAAAAAAAACTGGAGATCAAATGGAATATCAATAACACACACTCACTGATTAAAATTTCTACCGATTCCTGCACAACGACGATATGACGAATGGATAACCTAACCCAACTTTATATACAACTCAGCACCTGTTCATGCGAAACGAAGCGTGTTCGTATGGTTTGTTGTTTACTCACCGGCTAAACCCTCTCTGGCACCATAGATACAACTGATCTCAGAAACTCGAATATATTTCACTCACTGTAAGGCACAGTTGTAGAGAAAGAAAATGTGGCAAAGGTGATTGATAAAATCATAGCTGTTAAATTACAAATTTCACTACAAGTTGTGCCTGACAACAATTCGGTTCAAAATCTTTGTGTCTTGCGCATATTAGAAAAAGATAAAATATGATCCACGATTATGAATGAAGTGAAATCTCTTATTTGTATATCCTCTGCCAGTAGCGTCCTCTACCACAAACACAAAATTAACGCTATTGGTGAATCAAGCGGTATGAATAACAATGTTGACCATGTTGGAACACGTTCGGGCAACTTTCTAGCCTTGAGAAACAGCCCAAATTAATTTGAATCGTCGATAATCCAAAATGATTTTTGAAATATTGACTAAATTTGATTTATTTTTATTGTCTTAAACTCATTGTAAATTAAAATGGACTGATATTTCAGTAAGATATGTTCGGCTCCATCGCCCTAGATTGACTTCACTAAACTAAACTTGATTAAACATCCTGTATATACAGGGTGTGCTATTTAACACTCCCACTGCCAATATCTCCGAAATGAAGAAATTTATTTTAGTTCCGTAAATTGGGGTTGTTAGGTCCCTTGAATAGCTTCACATTGTAGTTAGAACTGTTAGTTTAAATCTTTCTGTATAGATGGCGTGGCAATACTAAAAAATTTTTGATCTCTGAAATGTGGAAATGCAATCCATCTGAAAAATCGTTAAATTTTGAGTAATTTTTGTAATATCAAATTTTTCCCTATATTTACTTGTTTTTGAGTTATGTCAACTTCAATATGCAATTTATGATATAACAGGAAAATATATTATTTTATTTAAATCACACTGAGACAAAATATTCTTTTAAAATATTGTTATAATGGCTTTATTCAGGTCACATACTAACAAACAATAAATTATAAAAAAAAAACGAATAATCAACTACAGAAAAAATATTATACAATGGTAAATCTTATAAGGGGCAGAGACGAACCGTATTTTATCAAATGTTATTCAAAAATGCAGTCATAAGTGGCTTATGTCATTTGTTTAAAATAAAACGTGTATGGCAGATGACACATATTAGTTTTCCAATAATTACAGTTTTATCAGCTTCCGTCTTTCAATTTAACTATAGTAGTTATAAGATTTACCATTGCACAATTTTTTTCTGTAGTTGATCATTTGCTTTTATATTATTTATTGTTTGTAATATGTGGTGTGAATAAAGTATTTATAACAATATTTTAAAAGAATATTTTGTCTCGGTGTGATTTAGATAAAATAATAAATTTTCCTATTATTGAAGTCGACATATGTCTCTAAAACAAGTAAATATTGGAAAAAACTTTATATTACAAAAATTACTCAAAATTTAACGATCTTTCAGATGGTCTACATTTCCACATTCCAGGGATCAAAATATTGTTTAGTATCGCCACGCCATCTATACAGAAAGATTTGAACTAACAGTTCTAACTACAATCTGAAGCTATTCGAGGGACCTAACAACCCCATTTTCCGGAACTAAAATAAATTTCTTCATTTCGGAGATATTGACAGCGAGAGTGTTAAATGGCACACCCTGTATTGAGCTGTTGCTAATGGTACAAATGAAAGTAACAATCTTATTTTCACATTATAATAGAACCAACATAATAAAACCTATCTTTGAAAAAATATTTTTAGTTCCACTTTGTTTGGTTTTTATATTTTTTCTTGTTTGTTGTAGTAAAATCTTTTTTCTAAAAAGCATTGAACAATTTGTAATTTTATAATTGTTACACCTCCAGTTGCAGTGAATGTCCGCTTCAACTTGTACATATTCCCTAAAGATCAGTAGGTCAATAAAAAAAGTAAGATTCGTTGTGTCCTGAACATTTCTATATTTAACACATCAAAAACACACATTTTTCATTTGCTCTCTTATTTCCTACATCTTGATTTATGCAAATTTGGTTTTTGTTACAGGGGCCGTCACCAGAACGACAGGCACCGCGACCGAGACTACGAGGACGACCGGGACCGGGACTACAACAGGGACGACCGCCCCTTCAAGGATAACCGACGGGGCAGAGAGTCTAGAGACCGGCGATCGAGAGAAAGAGACCGCGATCGCTACTACGACAACTACGAGGACAGGAGGGGCCCCTCGAGGCAGCCCCAGTGGCAACAACCGACCGCCATGCCGCCGAGGCCTATGCAAGACAACTATTATGCTCCTCCCGACCTGCAGCAAGGATTCCAGACTAACAGGTACCTCTATTCAATGTTCATGAATGCCTTTGTTACAATTGATATAAATGCGACGGTTCTTATAAAATGTGGCGAGGTAAATGATAATATTCTAACAGTCGTTGTGTACTTAATATAGTTATGTTTTTATAAAGTTTGTGTTAAAAAACTTGTCGGGTTCTTAAATTGTTTATGTCCTAAATCAGCAGTTCTCAAATGTATGTCTTTGCATGCTACTGCGGGCCAGGAGGAAAACTTGATTAAAAGACAAGTTTTTTGAATTCCTAGTTATACATAAGTACTTTTTTAAATACATTTTAAATTCAGTAAAGTTATATTTGTCATCTATTTCCTATGAAAAAAAACAAATGTTTGGGAACCGCTGTGCTAATCACATTTAATTCGAAGTATTTGTTCTCAGTAATCTTATATTTTAATTTAATCTCAAGATTTGAAACCTTCAAATTGCCCGAAATCCTGTGATTGGGCTCTCTAATTGCTACTTCAATAAAATATTTTTTTTGTCTATTTTGAAAAAAAAAATTTAATTATCAAAAAAAAAATATTGTACTACCATTTTAAAAACATGATATTGTCATCATTGTTATATAAAATAAAACTTAGTTATTTTCATGTTATTGACCTTTATGTCCTAATTCAGCAGTTCTCAAAATGTATGCTATGGTACACTGTGATCATGGCCTTTGAAGTAAAACTATACTACAAGACAAGCTTTTTGAATACATTTTCAGTAACTGAATATCAATTTTAACTTTAATAGGGTGTAACTTTTGGGGTCATATGTTTACAGAGACTACCTTTGACCTTTAGAAACACATAGGTCTGTTTTCTCAAATTCCGTTGTGAACGCTGAATTCTTGTAACTTGTTTTTCGTAATTTTTCATACCCTGCCACCGGACAGTTTATTGTGACCTCAAACAACCATGTACGCTAGTTGCAAGCGTACACCAATTGGGTATGGAGTGCATTGTTGTCATATCTTATATTTCTTGATTCGTACTCGTTTTTTCACAAATTTAACAATGAAGACACACAAACACCATGCTGCCACTAAACACTGAAATAAATATTTTTTTAAGGTTATACCTAACACTTAAACTACTCATGACACTTCACTAAATACCACTTTATTGTCAGTAATAATTTTACTATAAGTAAAATTAAACCTAATAAAACACCTTGTGAACTGAAAACTAAAATAAATATAATATTATGAACCAATGACGTATTTGAACATTTTCATTTTGCCGAATTAAGAGGGATTTATAGCAAATAGGCAGCCAGCAATACATTTTTATAGATTTTATTACACAGTTTGTCTAAGTATGAATTAATACACAAATAACACTTTCCTCCATTCTAACGCAGATTTTCTATAAAATTAGTTAGTTTGAAACTCGAATTACTTTTTGTTGTAAAGAAATTTGTAATTTGCCGCTTTTGAACAAGAGGCATTGTAGAATACAAATTTCTTTACACCAAAAAGTAATTTTAGTTTCAACCTAAGTCCATTTTATAGAAAATTTGCGTTAAAATGGGGGAAAGTCTGTTATATGTGCATTAATTCATATTTAGACAAATTGTGTAATAAAATCTATAAAAATGTATTGCTGGTTGCCTATTTGCTATAGAATAAGCACCCTATTGTCATATCGCATCAAATGGATTGCTATTACCTAAACTAGGTCATTTTTAGAGGTTATTGACACTGAAACTAAACACAGTACTTTAAAAAAATAGCTACCAATACTTTTTATTTATTTTTTGCTGTATACATTTTATAAACAGCAAAAATAATTATTTTAAAACATAAATTATTAGCAGTATGCTTAATTCACATACCAATAGCAGATAATACATATTTAATCGGGCCAAAACTATGAATTTAATAAAAAAAAAAATTTGTTTGACATTTCATCAAAAAAATATATGGTGACATTAAAGTAACATGTCACAGTCATGCAAATGCAATTTTTTTTTACAAAATTACTTTCCGTTGCAGTTTCGCTCACTGCCACTGTTAGTTTCGTACAATTGATTTAAAAAGATAAAATGTAACACTGGTAAGCACGCACATACAACCGTGTTTGGGAACTGCCCATTGATGCCGTGGACAAGAGCCTACCCCTAAAAAAGTGACCCCCACTAAAAGTTATGCCCTGTATATTTGTTGTGCATTTCGAAAATATATTTTCGACAAGGAAAATATCTTCAAAATCATTTATTTCGCCACTTTTATGATAGCCTGATGTTCAGCTGTGGACAATAAAAAGTTTCCAACCTAAACTACTGATAGTCCTTTATGAATAAGGGTTTTACAACTTTCTCTCTTGCACCACATTTAAGGCCGGAACGCTTTTTTTGTCCACGACTGTACATATATAATTGCAGATAGAATGTGACATGCAGTGGTGTTATTTATTTTTCTTAATAAAAAATAAGTGGTTTATTTTTAAGACACATCTCTGTGTTAACCATTTGAAAGTGTAATTTCCGCCGTTGTTTCTATTTTCGAGAATGACCTCCATCACTCGATCTTCAGAGTGGTTATATTGTAAAAAAAATAACATTAATTTACCCAGTACTTATATTTTTATATTATGAATATACAGTTGCTTGAATAAAAGTTTTAAGTATTCCAATGAAACATTTTCAGTTTGACCTCCATGGTTACGGTTAACTGAAAGATTAACACTATTAATAAAGTAACATATTGTAGATGAGTAATTTTATTAGGTCACACTTAGAATTACAAAAAGTATTTTAATGTTTTTTATTCCCATTTGAAAGCATTTGTTGCGTGTGTTATAAAATTACTCGTTATTGTTCCTTTAAAAATTGTTATAAAATATATAATAACTGCAATTGAGAAGATTAAATGATAAGGTGCAACCGTGGTGATTCTGTCTGTGATATGTGACCGCATCGACTGTGATATTATCTTGTGATATATTGAACACGATAATTGATAAATTTATTTATATATTTTTATTTTTTGTACTACCTATACTCATTATACAAGACTATTACCAAGTTTTCCCAGTACGATGAACAAAACTTGGTATAAATATGGTTTGAACTGTATTTGTTTTATTACAATTGTTATCAGTGTAATGTTATGCATTTTTTGAAAATAAACATATAGTTGAAGTTTCTATTAATTCCTTTACTGAACCTGCAATCGTACTTTCACATAAGAGGTGGCAGTAACTAGCAAACTTAGAAGTCCGATTAATGGAAGTATATTGCCTTCATCGAACATAACAAACAGAAAAAAGTAAGAAAGATTATAAAACTGAAAATATATAGATTGGCCCATTGCAAGTTCTTGCAAATTTTAAATATATTTTCACATTACATAAGATGGCTCAAAAAGTTACTAAACACTATTTTCTAAAGAAATACAAGTTGGCTGACAGAATCATTTAGCAGTTATTGGTTTTCCATATCCATGAATCCCTGCTGCGGTTTTTTATAGGTACATTTTTCAAAAAAAACTATTTTTTTTATGGAAAAAATAACTGTAGGATTATTCTACATCCTCCAAAGCAATTGTGTCCCAAAGGACCACTCACCCAGTATATGGGATTTTGTTTCACCGTCGGATTAGTTGCGATAGTATTTGACCTGATAAAAAGGTCTCACGGGCACAATGCCCAAAAAAGCCTCCTAGAAGGTCTGGCAGTCGACGAGAGTTGGATATTGAAAGATATGTAGATTGATCATTGTAAACAAGGGTATTTGGGGATGCTGACTACAAATCCAAGGTCATCTAACCTCCATCATGTCAGATTCAAGGTCATCTCAAGGTCAAATTGTGAAAAAACCATTAGAAAAATGTTAAACAGTAGGTACATAGGTTTTTGAGGTCACTGAATACGAATATCGGTTTCGCTTAAGCCTACAAGGTTACTTAGAGGTCGTTCTAAGTAATTGCAAGACCAAACTGACAATGATTCAGCGCACCTCAGAATTGAATTCAGCGACATTAGCCTTGCCTTAATTGGCCGGATTCCAGCCTTGCCTTAACTGGCCGGGCCCCTCCATCCTAAGTCGACACCGGGAAATATAGCTATGGCCAGCACAACTACATCCAGTGGTGGTGATAGATGAGGTTTTAGTAAGTATGGCTATGGCCAGTCGCACATAACTCTGTGCAAACACCATCCCGAGCATGGGGTATGCGTAAATGCAATTCCTCATCTTATAAAAAAAAATTCTCATTAACTGGTTAGCCTTCACTCACCTTGTCATAAAATTCAATGTCACTGTAAAAGTCAGATTCAATAACAGCATGAATGGCCTTTCAAGTATATAACAATTTATCGTGCTCTTCTTAATAAAATGTGTTTTCTCACTTTGTCCTTTAGATGACTTGTTCCCGTGAAAACTTTTTATCAGAAGGTCAAATACTATCAAAAAAAATTGTTTGCAACCAATTCGACGGGAATCAAAATCCCATATACTGGGTGCGTGGTCGTTTGAAAAAATAATATCGACTGGTTACTTTTTTACTTACTGATAAACTTTTAAAAAATTCAAAATAGACTGACGGTTCAAAAAAATAACTAGAAACTATTTTCTAAAGACCTCACCACATATGCAGGGTGTATGGTTTTTTCTTTGTGCGTTCCATTAAATACAAGTTGGCTGACAGAATCATTTAGCAGTTATTGGTTTTCCATATCAATGAACCGCTGCTGCGGTTTTTTATAGGTGCATTTTTCAGAAAAACTAATTTTTTTATGGAAAAAATATCATTTTAGGATTATACTACATCCAAAGCAGTTAGATCCCAAATTTGAAGAAATAATATCGACTGGTTATTTTTCTGTGTCGATAAACTTTTAAAAAATTCAAAATAGAATTTTTGATGGCTCAAAAAAATAACAACACTATTTTCTAAAGACCTCACCACATAGCAGTTATTGGTTTTCCATATCAATGAACCCCTGCTGCGGTTTTTTATAGGTGCATCTTTCAGAAAAACTATTTTTTT